AGGGGAATTAGAATTTTTTGCTCTCATAAGCAACTGGTGAATGGGAGCAATTCTTTGATGAATAAGTTTCTACTTCTCTATCCTCGCGTCCTAGATTTGTTACAAGGGGTACATTCTTATGGTTTCTTTGACAAAATCAGGAAAAATAGAGTTTCATAAGTGACAAACAAAACATCATCAATAGCAGAGAATCATTGGTTTAAAATTAATGAACTTCCATAATATCTGTATTTAATTTATTAACTATGTCGGCTGTATTAATTGATTGTTCATTGTTGTCCTTGTTAATATCTATTATTATCCCCAGTCCTTCTTGTGCTTTTTTTTTTTTAGCCTTAGGCACTGTTTTGCTAAATAATGCCTAATGTAGATCTCAAAATTCGACAATGTCACGTGATCAAAAGATCATAGCTCTCCTCTTATCCTCGTAAATTTACATGCTCGCATGGACATCCACATTAAATTGCTCGTGACTGTATCTCCGATTGAAAACTAACAACTCATCATAGGGTTATTGCTATTAATAAAACATAAAAATAGTGAATAGGAGGAAAAATCAATTTTTGTTACAAGAAAGGGCGAGATTTTGAATCAAGCTGGGTGTACACCCTTATTTATATATTGTCACATGGCAAATTGTCATTTGACAATTTTAAAAAAAATAATTCATCCAATCACTTTTTGATAATAATGCAAGTGTGAACAATGATGTAAAAAGGGCAAGGCCCTACAACCGTCTGATCTTCAGACGAAAAAAGCACATCTGAGCACTCATATTTTTTCTTTTGACATTTTTACTTTACACTAATTTATTAATTGATAATTTTTTTTTTTGTTAATAGTTTGTCTTTTTTCAATATTTAATTGTAGAGTGGTGAATTATTATGTTTAAATTGTTGGCTTGAAAAGTTATAAAGAAAACAGTCGTATTTCTATGGTTAGACAATTAAACTAATAGTATAAAACGTCGTTAATTTTTCCAATAAAGGAGCTCCTTAAATTTGAATGAGATGATGCTAAAAAAAAAAAAAAAGGTTTGGATTCGACCGAGTTATCAAATTGAGATGATGTTGTTGGCTGGGTGGGTGGGTCCATATTCGTATTCCATTTCTCATTTCTGAGTATAAAAAGTAAGATCCTATCAAATCCTATTACATGATCAATCTCTTCTCATATCATATCTACAAAAGCTAAAGTTTGTTTCGATAGTTTTGAATTTTTGCTACAAAAGCCCATCAATTCTTATTAGAATTGGACATAATCGGACCATGTCTACCCATACAGGTCGGGCTAATACGAAAAAAAATAAAAAAATTACACATGATTTTTTTTGATTTTTTGTTTTACATAATTTTTTTCTAACTAAAAAAAATCATTTTTGGGGGGCGTAGCCCGGCCCAGCCAACCTCCATCCTTCCCTGGTTTCAATGCAAATCCTATTTGGTTCCGAAAGTTAACAATTAATTTTAATCATATATTTTATTGAGCCCATAATATTTCAATCACATATTTTATCAATTTTTATCAAAATCTACTAAAAATATAATTTTAATCCCCATCAAACAGAATCTAAAAATTCACTACATATACCCAACGACAAAACACACACACGCACGAAATGGATAGTTTACCGATTTTTATCAATTTTTATCAAAATTCACTAAAAATATAATTTTAATCCCCATCAAACAGAATCTAAAAAATTTCACTTTAATACCCAACAACAAAACACACACACACGCATGAAATGGATAGTTTACCGAAAAAAGTTCATAATTTCATTATTATACTATGCTCAAAAGAAAGGTGTATTTAGCTCATGTTTGACCTCTATTTTTTAAATTCTTTTTTTCTTAAATTCATTTTCAATCATACATTTTATAGAATTCATAATTTTTATCAACTTTTCAACCGTATATCTTACTATTTTTCATAAAAATTTACTAAAAATCATAGACCAAACGCTGACTTAATCAATATTTAAGCTATCATCTATCTAAACTTTGTAGATAAGGGTTGAATTTTCTATCAAGTCAATGTACAAAATGTTACAAAAACATCACATTCACAAAAGAGGGAGTTTCGTTTATGGCAGCTATTCCTTAGTTTAGCTCAATGTTCTTCAGTCTCATCGTCAAATTATCTTTCAGTTCTCATGTCCTTCTCTCTTTACAAATTTGAAATCCGCTCGTATCGATTATGTCACTTCATCTTTCTAATCACTTATCACAATCATAATAAAGTTTACAATTCATTTTAAAATTAACCCAAGTGTATATAAATGACGTTCACTGAGGTCTTACCGACCTCTCACATGGGGTCCCACGTCGGATCGATCTGATTAAAAAATTATTCAAATTTTTTCCCGTCCTCTCGTTATGTGTTGAAGCAGAACCTTTGTACATACAGCATGATTCTTCATTTTAAGATGTAATCTAAGATAAAAAGAAAATATTTCGCCATCTATTGACCTTTGTCTTAATTCAATAGGGCCTTTGCAGATTCGTAAACCGGTTATAATTCGATCTAGTTAACGCGCATAAACATAAGTGAATTATTAAACCCAATTTCTCGTTGTCAAGAAAAACAATGTGGATCGATGACTCAACATAGTTATCAAAATAGTGATTTACTTGTTATGCACTTGTTTGATTCTCATTTTTTTTTTTTTTAAATATATTTTTTCATTTCTTCTTTTCAACTGCATATTTTTTAATAAAATATTTCCGAAAGTTAACAATTAATTTTAATCATATATTTTATTGAGCCCATAATATTTCAATCACATATTTTATCAATTTTTATCAAAATCTACTAAAAATATAATTTTAATCCCCATCAAACAGAATCTAAAAATTCACTACATATACCCAACGACAAAACACACACACGCACGAAATGGATAGTTTACCGAAAAAAGTTCATAATTTCATTATTATACTATGCTCAAAAGAAAGGTGTATTTAGCTCCTGTTTGACCTCTATTTTTTAAATTCTTTTTTTCTTAAATTCATTTTCAATCACACATTTTATAGAATTCATAATTTTTATCAACTTTTCAACCGTATATCTTACTATTTTTCATAAAAATTTACTAAAAATCATAGACCAAACACTGACTTAATCAATATTTAAGCTATCATCTATCTAAACTTTGTAGATAAGGGTTGAATTTTCTATCAAGTCAATGTACAAACTGTTACAAAAACATCACATTCACAAAAGAGGGAGTTTCATTTATGGCAGCTATTCCATAGTTTAGCTCAATTTTCTTCAGTCTCATCGTCAAATCATTTTTCAGCTCTCATGTTCTTCTCTCTTTACGAATTTGAAATCCGCTCGTATCGATTCTGTCACTTCATCTTTCTAATCACTTATCACAGTCATAATAAAGTTTACAATTCATTTTAGAATTAATTCAAGTATATATAAATGACGTTCACTTAGGTCTTACCGACCTCTCACATGAGGTGGGTCCCACGTCGGACCGATCTGATTAAAAAATGGTTCAAATTTTTTTCCGTCCTCTCGTTGTGTGTTGAAGCAGAACCTCTGTACATACGGCATGATTCTTCATTTTAAGATGTAATCTGAGATAAAAAGAGAATATTTTGCCATCTATTGACCTTTGTGTTAATTCAATAGGGCCTTTGCAGATTCGTAAACCGGTTATAATTCGATCTAGTTAACGTGCATAAACATAAGTGAATTATTAAACTCAATTTCTTGTTGTCAAGAAAAACGATGTGGATTCGATGACTCGGCAGTTATCAAAATAGTGATTTACTTGTTTGATTCCCATTTTTTTAAAATATATTTTTTTTCATTTACTCTTTTCAATTGCACATTTTTTAATAAAATAATATTACACGCAATTCAATTTTTTTTTTCATTTTTAACTACATATTTTTCATCAGTCTACTATTTTAAAATGCACTTTACACCGAAAAATGGGGCTCAAACCGACCCTATATTAAAAAGTAGAATTAGATACAAAATAAAGCAATAATAGGTGGTCAATGATTTTGATCAAACGTTCCATTCTCGATACATGCGTCGACCAACAACGTCGTTAAGGTTCTTTGTATGGTGAAAGAAAGTTACAGATTTGGCTTCTTGCCTCAAATACGGCTCCCCTTAGCCATCGGTTTCGCACACACAAAAAGAAAAATTAAATAAAATTAATTTAACTAAAAATATTTTTACGTGAAATTGTAAACAATAGTTAGAGTATAAGGTCACAATAGAGCCACGTTTCAAATTAAGTTGACTTAAACGTTAATTAGATTATTACTAATTAAAAGTAAAATAAAATATTTTGGACAAAAGAAATGCAATTCTTGGCATATGAATCAACGTATACGACAAATCCACAAGTGATTGACTTGGCGTCTAAGGTTAGGAGAGTTTTTATGGAGATGGCATTTTTATCAATTGAAATGATGGCTATTAAGACTGTGAATTCACGATAAAAGGTCAAACTTATTAGGATGAGTAATTCAAATAATTTATGTTATCATCTTAATTCGATGTGATATTTTATTTCCTACGTGTCTTGTAAGATTGTGGTTCGTTTGAGCTAACCATTCTTAAAATTTTGGGGCCATTTGTTTTATTTTAGTCTTAACCTGATCGAAGGGACGGATCCAGGATCAGATTACGGACCGGACTAATACGTAGAAATTTAATGAAATTTGACACGGTGTTAAGATTTGAGTTTCCATTTGACAGATCTTGCTCACCTCAAGAAGAGGAGTTGACGTGGGCAATGGATTTCCGTAAAAACAAATAAAAGTGAGGGCAGTTTGCGGAAATGGTGTCAATATAAGGAGACTGGGAGACCCTTATGTCTCACCCCGAATCAGCAAAAATCTGTTTGCAGAAAATAAGCCCTTGTTTTCAGTGAATAACCAACAACAAAAGATGATATTTTGCAGTAATAGTTGAAGTTTGAAGTCTCTAAATACACTAAGTTCAGCTCAGAAACAATTTCAAGAAACATGAACAACAGTAGTAGTTTTCTGTTTCCCAGTGATAATCAGCAAAACTGTGGTGGTTTAGCTCGATATCGTTCAGCTCCCAGTTCAATTTTAGCTACCCTTTTGGATTCTGGTAATGAAAATGGTGAAGAATCTGAGGCAATATACTCTAATTTGTTGAATCAAAGGGGGGCTATGCCTATGAAGCAAGAAATTGATGTTTCAATGGAGCAACACAATGGGTCTTATTCTGTAGGAATGGAGAATGTGAGGATGAAAAATTGTGGGAATCTTGCCAGCCAAACTAGTTCCCCACCTGGATTTTTCCATGGTAAGATTCATATTTACTAGATTAACACGTCTTCAAATTTGTTTATGCTGGTTTATTAGTTAATTACAACTAAATTTGTTTGCATAATTTGTATATTAATTTATTCATTATCTGTACAAAACAAAGGATGCTGCTTTTGGTTGATAACTTTCTGCTTTCTAGATAGGGTATAGAAAAAGTTTGGGAAAAGAGAAAAGAAACAAGGAAAGTTTCCAAATACATTACAATGTTTTGTTATAGATGAAGCTAGCTGAAAAAGAGGAAATATCTGGGGATTTTTTTATATATCTATAGTTCGTATTTTAATCTGAGTCAAAATCAATAATTAATTTTAATCGCATGTTTCTCGAGACTCATAACCATATATTTCATCAACTTTTATCAAAATCTACTAAATCACCCGACATGCCTTAGCCTTGCGTGTGGTGTGGAGGGAGGGGAGTATCGAGTGACTCCAGCTGCGATGTTAAAGGGGAGCATGATCCTACATGAGAAGGCAAATCTTACGTTATTAAGCCAATTCTGCAGTGATGATAAAGCCTAAGGACATTGGACACTTATGTATTACTAGATTTCATGTGTTGCACTGCGACTAATTACAATTTCCGAGCCGTTTGTTGTGATTTTTATGATACACAGTTATCACGAGCTTTTACACAGTTATGAAGAAGTTGCTTAAATGTTCTTGTTTGATCTCAGGTTTGGGTGTAATGGGAGAAGTGGGAAACTACAGAATATGTAATCATGCAGAAGCCAGTTCACCCACGAATGGTTTGAAGAATCAAGTTGATTACTCGTCTGGTACGGCTTCCAGCACTAGGTTCATGCCTAGCATTCCCGAAAATGGGAACGAAAACATAAACATAGGCACACGTAGAGTTGAGAATGGAAATGGAAATAATTGCAGAGAGTATGACTCTGCCTTGCTAGAAGACTCTTGGAATGTTTCACCCTTCAACAGCATGAAAAGATACCGAGATGGTGATCCAAAAATGTTCTCTAATTTTAATGGAATAATGGGAAATGAGGTAGTTTTTATTGGTTTTTTGTGCTGGTTTTCATGTTGTTTGCTTGTACATACTACTTCTATTGCTGATATTCATGTCTTCAAATCAGAACGGGGAAACTAGAAACACTGCTATGCATTTAACTCACCATTTGAGCTTGCCGAAAATCCCTTCCGAAATAGATTCGGCGGAAAAATTTCTACAAGACACCATCCCCTGTCAAATCCGGGCTAAAAGAGGTTGTGCCACTCATCCCCGAAGTATTGCAGAGAGGGTAAACTTCTTATTCATATTTGTGTCGATCTTGTTCATCGTGTTATTCATTCACTCTCAGTTTCACAACAATGAACAAGACATTATTAGTACTCCCAAATTGAATTATATTGGATAGTTTTAACATTTTGTCAAGCTAATTTACAGGTGAGACGAACTCGGATTAGTGAAAGAATGAAGAAGCTGCAAGAGCTCTGCCCAAATATGGACAAGGTAGATATTTTTCCTGCGGTCGTATTTTCATTTTTCTATTTATCTGAAGTGCTTAGGGATCGAGATTTTTTTTTTCGTGGCAGCAAACGAACACGGCCGATATGTTAGATTTGGCAGTTGAGTACATTAAAGAGCTTCAAGAACAAGCCAAGGTAATAAAGAAGATAAATCCCTTTCACTTTAAAGGATTAGATTCACATGAAACCTGTCTCAAAAACTTCATTTTGTGCAGACACTCACGGACAAGAGGGCAAAGTGCAGATGTTGATGTCTGGAAAAAGATGCATATCATACCCCGTGAGTTGGGTTTTTACGTGCTTGTATTAGATACGTGCAATATATATCCAGTTTAATAAACGAAAAATGGATCGAAGGACTATACGCTGTCACGTTGTACCCTTATCGTCCCAAAGGCTGGCATGTGAATTAATGTATGCTCTCAATTAATCGATGAAGAGTACTAAGAATAATCCGAAAGATGCCACGATGGCATGGTAGACATATGTTCGAAGTTTCAATTTTAATCTATATTTCACTAGAATAAATGTAGCCTCCTTGATTTTCATCTAGCCACGGATTTGGAAAAAATATATATTTGAATGGAAATATTTACAATGTTCTAAAATATATGTGTTATGTATGTTTATTTTTTTGATAACCGTGGACGTTCGGACCAGTTTGTGCGCACCTCGATTAATCCCATGAGGCCCTGAAGTTTACGACGTGGTATTCACCTCAGTGGCCTTAAGGAGACTCCAACTATGTTATGTATGTTTATTGTAATTTAGAATTTAAAAAAATAAAAAATTAGTGGTCTGGGAAAGAGTATGAATTCTAATGTTAAAATTATAGTCTGACGTATATAGAGCAAATGTAATTATGCAATTATAAAATATGGGAGGCAATATTTAATGCCCCAAAATTCCTAAATTTGCCACAAGGACTTAATTGAAAGGATTTGGGAAGTTAGGGAGCAAAATGAAATTCTTAGTGGTCTTGAGTGCAAATATAAGAAAATTTAGTTTTATCAGCGACATTTATTCAGTGTATTGTGAGAATAATAGCATTATTGTTATTATTTGTAAGCTCGAAAATGATTTTTTTTATTATTATTATTTTTTATTTTAAGCCATAAAACTGAAAAATTCAGCATCATGGTAAAGAGATGAGGATCGAAGCTATCAAAAATTGTATCCGGGATGACTCGATCTCAAGTTGAGAAAAAACGAGTGATGAGGACCTCAGGACAACCTGCAAAAAGGACTAGAGATTGTTTCGTAGCGATATTTAAATCAGCAAACAATTGGATAAAAATTTGAACGTGATGCTGCAACTTGAGCAATAATGAAATACGTACCTAGCTACGAAATAGATATGGAAGAACAAATAGAATAGATAGGATTGGACTTCTGATGCCTTAGAACTCCTATTAGAATCAGAATGTAGGAGACAAACGAAGTATGACTCCTTGCCAACGTGGGGGTAGTGAACCATAAGGTGGACCCACGCAAGAGTCGAGGTCATTGAGATGAACCGGGACAGATCCATGGATCAATGGTGAATTTGGGGTCCTTGACCTCGAGGAAGAGACGTCCACATTGAGGGATCAAGACAATCCAAGGGCGTGCCGTGTGTGGGCCACGGGATTTGGGAACTCCCATGTCGGGCTTGGGAGTTATGGCATCATCGAGGACTATAGTAAAAAATTTCAAAATCTTGAGTACGACGTATTTTAGGGAACAATACATAACTCATATTTTTAAAGGAGGAAATTACACCAAACCATACTATTAAAGATCCTAGTTTTAAAATCAGATGGAATGTTTCATTGTTCAAAAATCAGATTAAACCTAATTAATTTCTCATTTCCTTTCTCTAACCCACCATCCCCATCTCTCTCTATCAACCCGTCCCATCTCCTCTCTCTAACCCACCGTTCCCATCTCTCTCTCTTTCTCTGTCAACCTGTCGTCGTCGACAATCACGAAGACCACAGCGGAGCTCGTCGCTGTAAGAGGAGACGGCGCTCACTGAAGCGTCGCTTGCAGCGCCGATCTGTGCGGTGGTCGAATCTACAAAGCCGATCTGACATAATCTATTTTTTTTTTGTTTTTTATGCGATTTACTGTGCGGTGGTCCGATGGTGGTTCTTGTGGCGAGTGGTTTGTGTGTGGGAATGTCATGGGTGCCAATCAGTGGTTGAATTTTGGGAGTTTTTTGATTTTTTGATTCATACTGTGCGGTGGTGCTTGTGGCAGTGGGTGACGGTCGACGGTGGTGCTTGTGGCAGTGGGTGTCGGTGAGATGTTGATGATCGAATCTGCAACGCCAATCTGCCAGAATCTATAATTTTTTTGTTTTTTATGCGATCTACTGTGCAGTGGTCGACGATGGTAGTTCTTGTGGGGAGTGGTTTGTGTGTGGGAATGCCATGGGTGCCAATCTGGTGGTTGAATTTTGGGAGTTTTTTGGTTTTTGATTCGAACTGTGCGGTGGTCGGCGGTGGCGGTGACGGTCGACGGTAGTGGTCGTGGTAATAAGTTGGCCACAGAAATTATCGCAGTCGCGAACCTGCAACAGGCAGGTCCGAAAAATGTTGATTTCAGTGCCGTCTGGTAGACCCACGGTTGCCGACTACCCAGGTCGTCTTCCCCACCTCATGGCACACCTAGCCCAACAATGGGTCAACTCCAATTTACAGCCTAATGATTTGAATTTGGTTTAAAAAATCACGCCACTGTTGCAAGGAAGAGGAGAGAAGAGGAGAGTGAGAGAGAAGGAAGAGAGTGACAAAGTTCGAAAATGAAATTGATTGGGACGGGTAGGGGTGGAATATATTATGTTTAATTAAATTTTTATTAATTATAATTTTTAAAATCTAATTATCACCTGATATATGAATTTTAAACTAATCCACCTAATTTATGATAATTAGTTTTTAATTGTAGGTTTCAAGGTAATTTTCCCCGTATTTTATATGAAAATATTTACTTTGGACGAGTACATTAATTTTTTGGGCTTTAAATGATTTTCTATTAGTGGAAATTACAGGAATCCTTACTTTTCAAGATTCAAGTTCAAAAATCAGATTTCAAGTTTTACTTTTCAAAAATCAGATATTTTATATATAGATACAGATTTTTTTATATTTAATTAAATATTAATAATAATATTATGAAAATTAATATATATACACCACACCCCCTAAATTAATTTTCAATCCTAAATTCACTCCCAACCCCGTCACATCCTCTCTCTCTTCTCTCTAACCGACGACCTCCACCGGTGGTTCACAGATCGCCGACGACTACCAACTCACAGCCACAACCCGCTGCCTTCTCTCTCTCTCTCTCTACATTCTCCCCCAACCCCAAACTCGTTCTCTCTCTCCCTCTCCCTCTCCCTCTCCCTTCTTTCGCCGCCATCGACCCCACGATCGCCACGATCTGAAGCTGCGATTGTGGTTTTTGTTTTTATTTTTGTTTGTGGTTTTCAGATTGCGGGGTGGTGGCGATGAGGGAGACGGCAGTAGAGGAAGGGGTGGTGGCCCATGTACTGAACCCCCACCTGTTGGAGATCGAACTGAGGTTTCTTCAGTTTTACAGCCAGTACAATTACAGCAAGGATCAATAGAGCAAAAAACGAGAAGAGGAGAAAAAGGCAACAGTAACAACCACGGAAGGAGGAGGAGGATGATGAGGATGAGCTTGTAGGATGGTAATAGTTGTGGCTGTGATGAGCACCATTTACGGCTCCGGCGGAAGTAGTCTTGGTGGTGGGTCCGGTGGACATTTCTGTAGAGTTTACAACTGTGTTACATGTTTTCTTCATCTTGAAAGAAAATAAAGGAGGAGCCCCACCAAGGAAGTGGCTACTTCCCTTTTCTTCTTCTCCTCCACTCTCTCTCCTTGTTGCTTTAGAATTTTGTTGTTTTACTATTGCATTTTTTGAGATTGCTTAGCAATTAGGAAAATGAACATGTGATATAATTATACGAAATTATGGTATGAAGTTTGGGCGATATTTGTGGGCAAGAATTGGGTAAGGGTGTAGTGGTGTCAATGGGCCGAGTCGGCTATGGGCAGGAATTGGGTAAGGGTGTAGTGGTGTCAGCTCGGCTCGGCCCATTGTCTTTCGCACGAGCCGAGCTCGTGGCTTGTTGGCAACGAGCCGAGCTTGAGCTCGGCTCGTTGCCTTTTGGGCCAGCTCGGCTCGTGACCGAGCTCGCCCAAAGCGAGCGGCTTGGCGAGCCGAGCCTCGCCGGCTTGCCATATTTTTTTTTTTTAAATAACGCTACTAGTACTACAAGTCT